TTATTATAAAAAAAAAAAAATATGACTAGGAGATGGCTCTTAGTACTCAAAGAACAACTTTGCATCTTGAAGAACAATCACAAACACCCAACCTAAAGATAGTGTTTCAGAGGCAGAGCTATTTGCTCCATTTTGTCTGTCCTTACACAAACTAAGTTTTACCACAGAATTCTCATTTAAATTTCAGTTCTGAAGATATACAAAATGAAAACTGAAATCACAAAAAGAGCTGTCTAGTATTAGTACTGGAGAGTTCCCAAATGCTGTATTAATGGAGCAGCGAAGAGACAAAGAGAAAAGATTGCCTTAACACAGCAGATTTAGCAAGGGTTCATTAAACCTTATTCACAGATTAAAAAGATTTTTGGCTGACTCCTCGCTGAAAGCCTGCAGAAGAAAACCATAAAAATTTTGTTCATCAGCAAGCAGTACACCTAATCCACTAACAAATACAAGTCGGAGCCACTGGGCATAAACTAATCTTTCCTAAATGAAATAGCTGTTCCCCATGGACAATGGGTAAATAATGCGAATTAGAAGAATCTTCTCTCTCTCAAGCCATATTTTTCCACTTTGGAAAAATATTTTTTGGTTCCAGAAAATCCTCAAGCCTATTTCAAGAAATACCAGAAGTAAAGTAGCCACAAATACTGTGTGAAGGCTTCTCAGAGGTAGTAAGAACCAAAAGGTGGATGCTCCACTGACAGAAATGTAATATATATTCATAACATGTCTGGCAGTAACTAGGATAGTGAAAGAACAACCAAACATTTCAAAAGACATCACATCAGAAAAATGAGTTTTATTGAGGTAATTATTCTCGTTCTTGCTTGAAAATTTGTCTCGTTAGTTGTACATTTCTTGTGAAATCTGGGCAGACCGCACTGACGTGCACTGATTACATGACACAGCTTTGTCTGTGACTAAAGAAAACAAAAGGAAGCAGGAGAAAGGGAAAATGATCAATCACACCCTCCCTTTTAAAAATTCCTAGTTTAGGGTCAGTACCCATTACAGTACAGTGTAGCCAGTTTACCTGAAGAGCTCATTTCTGGGTGAGGACTCATCTACTGATCTTCAATTATTCATTAAACTCTTTTTTTTTGCATTGTTATTTAAGAATAATGTTATCACAGTCAGATAGAGGTACTGCATTATTAAGAAGGTTGTCAACTTATAAATGAAAGTCACCGTAACATTAGTGAGATGGTGGAGGGAAAAAAAAAAAAAAAAAAAAGTCCTTGCTGTTTTGGAAAATTTCCACTCTACCCACTTCCTTGTTATTTGGTTTCACCTGTTTTGATGCCACAGTTATGTTCAAAGCTGAATTCCAGTTTTTCCAGGAGCCTTTCCTGGAGGAACCGGATTTTAGGGTCAGGGTTACAGATGAAAAATTACCGAAAAAAATCAAAGGAGGAAGTAAAAATAATATAATCATTGAGGTTGGAATGACCTCAATCCAGAAGCTCAGCTATAGATTAGTTCCCTTTCCCCCTGCTGATCTGACCATATCTGATAGTGCTTTTGTCAATACTATGTGTTCCCTCAAGCAAAGGTCCAACTGCATGAAGCAAAAGTCCTTCAGCCATTTTAAAAACAGATCTGAGGCCAAAATTTAAAAGCATCAAATCAGGAAAGAAATCAGGATTCCCCCCTCCCCCTGTTTTTTCTATCCATCTTCAACTGTATCAATAGAGCGGTGAGTCCCTTTGATGCCTCACTGATAAAACACCAAATTTGATGAGTGATCAATATATCTCTTCCTTCCCAACTCACATAAATATCGTAAAGAAAATACACGAGTAAAAATATTTAGATTATTCTGTTTGAAACTGCAATTAAGCTATTGATGTATTACAAAAGATCAACCACAAGGCACTGTATGATTGTGTGATTTTCCATTCCCCTTCATACAGTCAGCTGAGCACAATAAAAAGACAAACTGATATTACATATTTTAGAGGCCTTTTCAGTGTGATAGCAAAGTATCATGGCAACAGCAACAGTAAATGCTAAAGTGGCATTGTGTCAGATACACTGCTCCCTCTGGTCACACTTTCTGGATTACCTGGTTTCTCAGTATCTTTTAATATGATTTAAAGCACCTAAATAACCTCAGTTTAGTCCCCAGTGTGAAAATACTGGGAAAATACTACTATATCTCTGTCAAGCTGTATGAGAGGTACAGAGAATACACAGACAGCACAGTCATTGAGTTATTCTTAAGAAAAACTAGGCTCAGCATTTAAATAACACACAAGCCTTAATGCAAAATCTAAACACCCCAGAAAGCTTGCTTTACTCTTTGAGAAATAAAAAGCAGTTAGGACATCTGTTTGCTGTAGGTGCCCATTCACATCACAGAGAAATCATGTTTTTTTTCCCCCCTTTCCTCACTGAAAAGGCCACTGCCTTCTTTTGGGCACAAAACTGCTGTGGACATAAGAATTACCCAGTGTTTAGTAATAATACGGGTGTCCCGCAAAAAGATAAACAAGGATTTCACAGTCTCACTTCTACTCTGGAAAATCAGGGGGGCAAATTTCCCTACATAATCTCTCCTGTTTTCTTCCTTTCACTGCCAATTCCAACTTGCTGTCACCTAAATGTGAAAAGCTTTACAGAATGCTCTCCACAGCTAATCAAATCCCTTCACGCTCACATCTGCAACACAGGTGGAGGACAAGAAGCCACTAAAATAAATATTCAAAACATCTGTTTTGGATAATATGTGAAGCGTGAATTTCTGGTGTACACTTATGGGGAACAAACAGGAGATACTCCAGGCAGGATTTAAAAAAAAACGCAAAACAATCCCAAAATATTTAAGAGCTTACCTGCCAACAGTCTACAGTTAAGTCTGTACTCCTGCACCTCTACTTTCACATCTATTTTGCACAACTAGAAGCTTTTGTGGAATCTTTGATGGTTGCATTCTTAATACTTGGGAGACTGATGCAACTGTGCAGCGAGTCCCAAAGGATCAAGCCAGTATGGCTGGTGACCCAGTTTCATGCCAAGATGCTCACACTTAGGAGTGTCTAATATCTGGCAGTGGATAAAGATGTATTTAATCTCCTCCGGATGGAATACCACAGTCTAACGTGCAACCATGTGCTGCCTCGAGGACACATTTTAGCAGATCCAGGGATATAAATGCATTGCTGAGACCAGCTGCTTGAAAAACCCCCCGAAGGCTTCAGCTGTTCAGTCAGACCTACAACATTTTCAAGTCTTGCAATGGCATTTGTAACCTTCAGGTTACAATCTCCACCTGATTTGACTTTTAGGAAAAGCTCTGATTTAATGCCTCTGAGTTTTAACTGCCCTCGTTATAATACGCTTTGGTCCTCTGTTCTCTTGAAATACTTAAATCAAAATAGAACTTTTGCTTTGTTTTCAGGACGTAAAGCTGCAGCCTGATTTTTACCATACATGGATTTCATTGTGCTTTTAGCCAGAAAAGGATTTGTACGTCACAGTTTCAGTTCAGTGGAATGAAGATGATGTTCCCCTCTCTCTTTTGCACTTATACTGGAACTGAACGTGTTGTTAGCTTTTTTTTAAAAAAAAAATTTAAAAAAAAAAGCGTACATAAATAAAATCTTAGGTTTTCCCTTTGGTTTTATGTGGTTTACATGGGCCAAAGCCTGTTCCTATGAAACAGGTAATAGTCCACATAAACACTGCTCTATTTTAAAAAAAATTCTTTGCTGTGAGGGTGGTGAGACACTGGAAGAGGTTGCCCAGAGAAGCTGTGGCTGCCCCATCCCTGGAGGGGGTCAAGGCCAGGCTGGATGGGGCTTGGAGCAACCTGGTCTGGTGGGAGGTGTCCCTGCCCAGGGCAGGGGGTTGGAACTGGATGATCTTTAAGGGCTCTTCCAACCCAAACCATTCTATGATTTTTTCTGCTAGGCTCAACCTGCCTGTTCTGACACTGAGTCCATATTGCTCCACCGTAGACATCTTCAGTGGCAAAGAGTACAGCTAGTGCAGAGTGGTATCATATGGATAACATACATTCATCAGAACAAGGATGTCACATGTAAGAAAGAAATAAAATACCTAATCTATGCACTTAGAAGTAAAGAACAGTCAAGTAAGTAGATCCAAACATATCAATCAGTACTAGATATAGAGGACCATGCAAAAAGGGCCACCAGGTTTGCTCCAGTGACCAGGCTAGCACAACAAACGCTGTGCTACTAAGTTTGCACCCAAACACCTGAGAACTACGCATCACTGTATTGCTTTACACAAATAATAAAGGTATTAGAAGTCACTTTTTTATGGCAGTATCAGAGAGTTGTTCAACCAACCCGATGACAGGGCAAGGAAATTTGGCAGCATCTCCCCTCCAAAGCAGCACCTCCTGGCAGTTGAGCTTCCAAACACACACAGGAGAATCACAGAATCATCTAGGCTGGAAGAGACCCTCGGGATGCTAAATTTCTAGAATGCTAAAGCACTTCTAGAATGCTAAATTCTAGAAATGGAAGTTTTCACAGAGTATACAACCATTACTTTCCCTTATGCACTAGTTCAGGGACATTCTGGCATGTAAAGAAATCATGCTTCATCATTAACATTTTACGAAGAGAACATACAGCAAACAAACTGGAAAGCAGCTGCACACAACCAATTCAGAATTACATACCTGCACAGCCCACCTCAGGAGCTCTAAAGCTCAACAGAAACAAACTTCCAAATCTACAAGTCATTTATGTGTGAACTCCCAGAGAGTGAATTGATTGTCCTGTTTCAGTTTGCTAAAACTGGGACTGTCAGTGCACTGACTCTCGCTGTAACGATCTCCTGTTTAACCCAGGGAAACACAAACCAAGTAGAAATGCAAACAACTGATACCTGCCTGCAGGAAGGAGGGAATCAAATACTATCCAAAGGAGAAGATTTCCAAGGCAACAGCTAATTTGTTTGCTAAGCCCAGCAGTCAGTCATGCAGCCTGTGTTGCAAGCACTGACGTGTGTGAAACACTAACCTTCATCACTTCAACCTGCAGGTCTTCGTTGAGCGAAGGAGTCACTTTGACGGCATTCAGCATCTGATTAAGCAACTGCTTCTCATCTGAGTCTGTTTCCACGGATACAAACCTCTCATCAGAGAGCAGCTTCTGCAGAGAGAAAATGGCCATGGACAACATTGAGACAAAACTCCCTCTGCCCATTTCTGCTGCAAACCACTGCACCTAAACCTATTAATGTTTGCTGCTACTGTGACTAGGTTTTCTACGCACCAAATTCAAATTGATCCAATAATATAAAATACCAAAGTACAGCAAGACTGGGAGGTTTGTGCCATGATGAGCAGACAGTTGGCATCTTTTGAATCAGCTGCCATTCCGGTATCATCTTTCCCAACCCCATTTCTCCAGCATCCAGAAGAAAGCAGACATCAGGAATTGATTCAAGAGACCACAAACCACTCCAAGTAACGCCCTCAGCAAAACCCCTCAAAATGTTTTAGAAGCAGGAGAGCTTTTTATACTGTCAAACCCAAGTCTTTTTGTTGCTTGTGCTGTTTTCTTTCACAACTTCATAAACTTCCAAGTTGGATGCTATTCCTACTGTTTTCAGGGTACAAAGAGAATCACAGAATGCCCACACATGGAGATTGCAGTTCCTGGATCCTTTATTAACCTCTAATCTTTCAAGCACTGCAAGCTTGTACAGAATCACCAGCCTTCACTTGCATCCTAACTTCCGAACACTGTTACAGAAACTTCAACATTATTGTTAGGTCTACCTGAGGATAGACAGTTTTTCTGTAGTATTTTTCAAGAGAAAAGCCTAGATTTCCTAAACACCAACATGCCTACTAACACACTCTCACTCTAAATCCATACCTGCATCCCTGCTAAAGCCTGTTGGGCCAGCTTCACGCTCTTCGATTCCAGAGCCAGTTGGAGAGGAAGGAGACAAAACCCCCTGAAAAGTGCCCACACATGGAGATTGCAGTTCCTGGATCCTTTATTAACCTCTAATCTTTCAAGCACTGCAAGCTTGTACAGAATCACCAGCCTTCACTTGCATCCTAACTTCCGAACACTGTTACAGAAACTTCAACATTATTGTTAGGTCTACCTGAGGATAGACAGTTTTTCTGTAGTATTTTTCAAGAGAAAAGCCTAGATTTCCTAAACACCAACATCCC